CGAATTATGCTCTCTTGCTCTCGAGTTGAAACTACAGAACCTTTACAATGGGGATGATCATTTCCCGCTCACGTGTTCACCACTTTAGCTACATGAAGTCACATGTGCTAGCCATAATCTGGATCTATAACTAAACTAACTCGTTCATCAAAACTCTCAACCTAGTCAGTTGGGGCAAATACGGTTGCTGGCAGGTTTCGTCGACAAAAGTTAATCGCATACGTCGGACTTACATAAGATTACATTTGTCAAGGCAGATGAATTGCTTTATTTTTAGTACGTCTTCATTCACAACGTGCAGTCGATAAAACAGGGTTGGTTAATCGACGCAGAAAGGACAACACGTGCCCCAGGTGTTCGATTGTTGAAAGTAGGCGAATGAAAATGCCTCAGCTTTGACCGCCACTTTGTACACTGGCTTTTGTTGATCAGTAGCATGAAGCTACAGTACTTTCGCGGTTTCCTCGGTTTTTGAGTGTGCAGTCTCTACTCACAAGCTGAACAACCAATGCGGTCTTTTAGCCAGGATAGCACAAAGACAGTGTGTCATTAATACCAGCTAATTTTGCGCTCATGGGTAAAAAACAATGGCGTGACGTTGAATATATAATGAGAGGACGGCTGTGTTGAAACTCTAGGAATATATAAAGATTGGCGCGACAGAACGTCTAAAATAAAAATCAGTTTAAATTTTTTGACTGCAGTATGCGGCTGTGGATACCCACACGCCAATTACTGCATTTGACTGAGTAAAAACTTAGAGAATGATGATCGAAAGTATGTTAATTAGGAGAAGGGATGGCGAAAAATCCAACTGACAATATTTAGAAGGCATCACGGCAAGTAAGGCAAGCGGTATTATTTATAGTGTCTAATAGTGTTCTTAGGGAAACAGGTTGAAGTGTTCGGCTTTGCGTTACATGAAATCTATGTAAAATAAAATATCAAACTTTTGTTTTAGGAATAAAGTAATCTGCGGTAGTTTAAATTCCTTCTGTAATTTCAGAAGCCAAACTAAAATTGGTTTCCGAATGTGTGTTACTCTTGCTTATCAGTATTAAAATAGACAAAATTTAATATAAACCCAAGAAATACGCTGTGGGACTTTAGTAATAGCAAAAAAATTATTATCTGGTATTCGAACAACTTAAACTTATAGGTAACAAAATATGCTGACGTAAAAAAGTGAAAGCTAAATTGGGCTTTAACTAAACAGCATAATGATGCTAGTAAAACCTTTTACCAAAGGTTTATAATATTGGAGGAGACTGGATAAGCTAGTTCAGATGGCGGATGAACCGTTTGCTGATGTTGACAATTTTGTTGCAATAGTTTCGTCACCAATCCTGATGACATCATCAGTGCGTACTTAGTGGCATGCAGTAGAGAAGGGTCGCGTAGAGGAGCCTCGGTGACAGCGCGCTGAGCGCGGTGTGGGCGCGTTTTTATGCCGCCGTGGTTGCCCGTGGAGACGAGCAATCCTAGTGGTTGAAACTTCGATCCGCGTTCAGTTTCGTTGATGGGCAGATGCCTTTTGACCTTGAATCCTTGGGTTTCTTGGCCTTGTCTGCCTGCACTTGTGAGCCAGTCTGTCGTCACTTCTGGTTGTCTAATCACACACCATTTCGGATTCAATCGATGGAGTTATCGGTCGATCGCCAGTAGTGTTGTGTATACTGTGTCTAGTTCGATATGTCAATTGATTGAATTCATCGTAGAGTACCAGGCATAAGAAAGCTCTCTCGCGTGTTCTGAACTTCCATTTGCTAGGATCTTTAAATTCTCCAGATCAAAATTGCGGTCATCTTGATCTTCATGTGCAGAAACCAATGAGTACTTATCATGTCTTCTGACGGTCGTCTTGTGTTCAGTGATTCGTGGCCATGCTTCCTTCGGTTTGTCCGACGTAGTTTTTAGCGCATTCGCTGCATCTTATGTGGTAGATGACATTGTATTGATCGGCTTGATGGACATTTTCTTTGGGTCTTGTGATCATTTTCCTTAAAGCGGTATATAGTTTGTGTGCCACAGAGAGTTCATGTGACTGAAGCAATCATCCTCTTAGTTTGGAGACAGTAATGAGGTAGGAGAGCATTATCCGATTGTTTGCTTGCTCAGGTGATTGCTGCTGCTGTTGCTGAAACATTAGCTTGGTTAAGCTATTTCTGATAAAATTTCTCGGATAACCGTTCTTTCTAACCATTCAATATAGGTGCTTTGCTTCCTGTTTCCGTGATTCGACTGTACTGCAGTGCGTTTCCACTCGTTTGAACAGATTTGCATACAGCTCCTCTTGTGATTCATCGGATGGTTGCAGTGGCAGTTTAATATCTGCTCCGTATGTTTTTTTCTTCCGATATACGCACATATACAGAGATCCGTGGGTATTCCTAGTGACCAGTACATCAATATATGTTAACTTGTTATCTACCTCCAATTCGATCGTTAATTTGAAATCCTCAAATGTGCTGTTGAGGCAATCGTGCGTAGACTGTACTGTGTTTCGTTTGACCTTGAAATGTGTATTCCACGTATCGGTTTCAGAATTTTGGCCTGATAGATAGGGGTGCAATGCGATCCAATTTCTGCATTACCGTTTCTGCAATGGCCCCGTAGATGGGGATCGCATGGGTGCTCCTCTCAGTTGCTGGAACGGCTATCGATCAAGGTGGAAATAAGTGGTCATGCAGAGGTTTAGGCTTTTCCAAAAGCTTTGCTGTCGTATGTTTGTCGCTGAGCTTAATTGATTCTCAAGTAGTTCCATCTTGGTTTGTTGCCTTTTATAGCATTTTATTGAAATGCGCAAAGTAGTTTATTAATTTTGGTCATTTTGGCGAGCAAATTAATAATGTGCTCGCATTTATAATGAACTTACGCAGCATTCAGGCTTATACGGCTAGGAGATTCACATACATGGGTGCTGTCTGTATTAAGGATACCTGTATGGTTTGCATAAACATATGATGTCAAATGTAAAGCGAATAATTAGGCTTTACATATGTTGACTTTCTCTACCAATACACTTTTCCAGTATGTGAAGTTATTTTCGGTGTGTAATTGGGTTTGATAAATAGGTCATATGTGCGATATCTCTAAATGTTAGTCTTAACAATCGGTAGAAAGCTGGTGTCCATAGTGATATGTGTCTATACTATAGTGATTCAAACTAATATTATGTGCCCTCTTTGGCTGAACAGAAGAAGCCTTTATCTGTCCCATCCACAAGTAAACAAGGAACGAATTATTAAGGTTCGCATTTTCTTTAACGTACTTATCTGAATATACTTGGCGTATGACAGAGCAGACGAAAAATGGTGTCAGGCTTTATGCAATTTGATTGATATCGGTGCATCCTTATAAATGATACTATCAAATGTTCTTGGCAAGCCATGTGAGCGGCCAGACGCAGATTACCAGGCTACGGGTAGCATTATTGCATACCACTTCACAGTGGAGGCACTGTTATTACTTTATTAATCGTATACATGTTCTTTCCAAGAAATTGAGGCTTTAGTTTACCCTGCGCGTACGTTAGCATAATGGGATATACTGTGGGTAGAATCAACAAAAAATAATTCACAAGCATATACGAACATTGTGGGGGCGCTTATTAATTTCACCGCATTAAACACCGTTTGAACTGATAAGATGAGTAGTGTAACATAGTCCAAAACATTAAAAGTATAATATCATTCGTGTTCCAGACTCAGCACTTATCTATGTAGTTTGCGATGGCTGCAGCTATTGTTGTACAAAAGTTTACATTTATTACTGTCATTGACGCTTACATAACCAATGCTGTGCAAAGTGTAGTACATAATCAGCCCACTCATCTGGACCGTTCCCCTAATGGATTAGAAAAGTCCCGTTCATTTTTTGTTGATGGCATGTGTTTTATGGTTTTTATTCCAATATATGTCCTTTCAGCTTGATTCTTCTATGGTATTTATTATACATCTACTGACAAAGCTCTCAGAAAAAGCGGATTAATTAATAACAAATTTGGGAAGTCATATAAATAATTATTGATGACACAAAATTACATCTAGAGAAAACATTTCTCACTGATCCGCAAGCCTCCTTACAATACCTTTTAATCCAAATTTTGTGTGCAACCATTTGTGCCCTAGTTTTTCTACAGTATTTTACCATAACATTTTCGATGAACCGCAACGATACGACATCTCAAACCATGCTCCAAGCTTAGAGGTTTTCATGCGCACACAATCGAATCGCTTAAAAATCAGCAATAAAATTGTTTTCTAGTCGGAATTTAATAATCCATGACTAAATCAATTCAAAATAGTAATGCTATTCGTCCCCATCCCCCCGTACGGTTTTCACAGTGGAAACATTAGAAAGTGAGGTGTATTGCAAAATCGTCAGTCGGGATGTGCAGTCATTAACCATTCCTTACGTAAAGCATTGTGAGCTCGAATATGATTAGATGCGGAAGTGGTCTTGTTTAACAAAATTTGAAACGGCAATTTTATAAACATTAATTAAGTAAGTTAGTAATTAGTAATTAGTAAATTAGCCTTAACTGCGACTCATGCATTTCCAAGCTACACAATAACCCCTAAAAACAAAGTGTCTACCGCGAAATTGTATCAGATACAACTAACTGTACCATATGCTGGCACATTCTTGAGGCAGTTAATTAACCATACAGTTTGTATTCACTGACACACTTAATTATTCACAGTTGTCTCCCGTTAGGCATTTCTGGGGGCTGTATTCGCAGCATGAATTTAAATGAATAATATGATGAACAATAGGCAGCAAAGCTTGATTCCATTGAGGCGTGTTTGAGTGAATCACGCAGTGCATCAGTAACTAAATTGATTGGAATGACAGTTTATTGTTTAAGCGAGGAGCAAGGGCGTGAACTAAATAACTTACATGTATATCAGAGGGGATTTCGTCGAAAATGTTTTTTTCTCATTTTATTGTAGTACGTTTTATTTTACTACGCTTAATTAACTCGTGTGTTATTTGTGGATTTTGTAGTAGGAGATCGGCGGTTGCCAACACAGTTAAACGCCAGACTTCAAGCGCCGAAAAATACCGAAGAACTGCTTGATATCATCCACCATCTTCCCGATGGCACCACTGCATCAGAAGGAGATTTGTATTCATCAGCGAAGCGAAGAACACCACATTTACTTAATAATCATCAGCACCTTGAAAATATCATCACTTTCATGGATGCGTTTGGATACTTGATGTGTCCCTCCCTGCAGTTGTATGACAAGTTCAGTCTACGATTTGCCTTCCGCACAACACAGCTCAACGGACTCCTACTTTTCAATTCAGACGTGTCTAGTGGTGACTTTATCCTGTTTGAACTACATAAAGCTAGATTATTCCTCAGCTTTGATATGGGGAGTGGGCTGCAGAGATATCAATTGTCGCCTAACAGAATGAACGACAACAAGTGGCACAAAGTTGAGATGATAAGGCAAGTACATTTGTGGCGCTGTCCCAGAGCGATTTGCATACTATGTAGGGCATATTTCAGAATATTTTTTCGGAAATTTCTAGCAGCACCAATATGAATCTTATAATATAAACAATGATGATATTGACAAAATGACGCAGGTGGAATATATGTGCTTGTGAGCAATATCAATGTAAATCATGGTTGAAAATCTCACACCGAAGGTACCTAAATTATCTAATTTGGTCACCTAAAATAATAATAAAAATTAATTACTTGGTGGGCTTTGTTCCCACACCATGTAAGCTCGTTATGCATTACTGTTGATGTGTTAGGTTTGGTAAACAAAAGTTCAATACATTTTACAATAGATTAACTAGCTATTTTATTTTAATAATGAACGCCCTTGGACGATTCATTACTGAAAATTATACCTTTATAAATCCTTTAGAAGTTAGCTGATATGTCATAACAGTATAACAAATATTGAAGCCATATAGTTTTACTAAGCTCAAACGTAAAATTGTGTACATAAATGCAATCAAATGATTCTCTGCCTTAGGTATAACGTCGAGGACAACGTAATTGCTACTACAATTGATAAAGGGGAATTAACGGAGTCAGAAGTGCAGATGCCTGTAACCCCCGGAAACTTTTCGAAAAATTTCAACCTTGCTGATTATTTATATATCGGAGGCGCGCACGAAACTGTATTTTACCGCTGGAGAGAGCAAATCACCAACCGTTTTGGATTCCAGGTTAGAGCATATTTAGATACTTTTTATACTGCTCGTCCAAAAGTGCGATTCAATTAGCTAGGAGTTAATAATCGTAATGTTTAGATCTAATTTACGGGGAATTTCATAAGATAAAACATCGGATCCACGATTACACCGAAATAATGTCCTGAGTATTTCTAAAAGAAAAACAAATCCAACATTTTGTTTCACCTACTACGTGCTATGATTCAAGGAATTTGTGGAATTTAGGTAGGGTAATCGGGTGCCTTTTAGTTTAAAGAAAATACTAAGACGAGAAAAGAGAAATAATCCATATTCTTCAATTAGTGGATGTTTATTGCAGAGAGTTATCAATATGCGTCAACGTAACTAGCGTGGTTAAGATCATTATGCTATTTTAGTCTTTTATTGGCAAACATGTTGGTATGATCGAAAAGTCATTGAAATAATTGTTAGGGATACTGAAAATATTAGCACAAATCTCTTAAATTTTGCAGCATAATGCCAGTTATGTTGCTAATTCATGCAACAAATGTTCTAGCACATAGCATTTTCCATCTCTATAACTAAACTGCTGCTGTTGTTTTAATGATATGCATGTATATATCTTGCAAGTGGGGTGCTGCCGTACGTATGCCAATTCTGGACGTTATCTAAAAGTTGAAAGTTTTTCTATGACCATTGCGTAACCGTTCAATTGATTCTTCTCCGGTTAGCAAGAAAATGACCTTCATTTATGACATACATTTAGTGACCTACGATATTTAGTAGAGAAATATCTAAGGATTAATCATTTAGTCTGCTGTGTACTGGTTAAACCATTTAAGAAATATGGCAACTCCTGTTCAAACCTGCATGATAATATTCGACAAAGCTATATTTAATGGATTCCTGCCTACGAACGAATACAAAATTGCACGTTGTAATCAAATTTAAAATATGGAGCAAAAGAATAATCTAGGCAAGCAAGAAGAATGTCAAAATGTAACGGCGGTTAAATTGACAACAGCGCACTTGTTAGCCAACGCCTGTGCACAAATGCCTGGAAAACTGACTTTTCAAACAAAGTTGAAGTATTTTTAAGAGAGTGCATAAGGAAACTAATTTAACCAGCCCTAATGAAAGGGATTGAAACCTGCTAATACATTGGAGGTAGCTGTACCAGGGCTCTGAGTGAAACAGTATAAATGGTAATAAAAATTTACGTAATCACGCAATCTCAACGGTGCTCAATTGTTGAAACTGCACCAAAAAAGCATATTAGCGGAGATGATTTAAACTCGCGCACCATACTTTCGGAACTTAGTACTAAAGTGTCATCAACCAAAATCATATACTCCCTATTTCTGAACTACTAGTAGTTGCTTCAAATTGCTTCTAAATATCACCAGATTATTTGAGTTAACTATACAACCATTGGCAATGTAGTCAAATCAGTCAATAAAACTCGGACAAGCCCGTGGTATAAACTGATTTCAAACGCAGTAATCTTAATTATCTGCGGCTACTGCTTCTTCAAAACACACTTGTATTGACCAGAGAAGAGCAGGATGGGGTTTTGGGTTCTAAATCAGCAACAAATTGACAGCATTAGCCTTGCCGACAGTTTCCGAGTGAATGAACCATCAACTGTGTACTTGACTAAGTATCAGTGGCAGTTTAACCGAGCTTTTCGCCGAAATAATTCGTAATGTATCTGTGCAAAAGACCCTGCTTAATTTTCTGTATTAAAGAAATGATTTACAGAAATCTGCCTAAAGGCTAAGAGTTATTTGATAATCTTAATCTTCCAGTAACGTAGAAATCTTATTAACGTGTGCACGTGCGATATAACATGGAACCTTGTGGGATGCACGCCTATCTTGACGTCCCTTGGTGCGTGCGGTTATCGATAACACATATCAAAAGGACACAGCAGGCAATTTGACCGTAGCAATATATTCACCCATAGCGTATCAGAGTCTTCTTCTTCCCGTAGTTCAGATCCTGGAAATAATGGTTTAGAAAAATGCTTTCCATTCGCAAAAGTTTTCTAGTGCATAACGTGGCGCGTTCACAAAGGAATACATGTCTAACTCTATTGTGGATGATGTAGTCATACGAAACTAACATACTAAGGTATATTTTCTCATGGTACTGAGAAACCAAGCCTACAAATGGACATGACATATTTAAATGTGCAACATGCTCTGGCATGCGAAGGAGTCAATGGTTTGGGTTTTTACAAAATTACATTAAGGATACTTTTGCGAATGTTTTCATTTGGGGTTTTTGTCGCGATATGCTACCAGTTCGTGGGCATTCTCATTTGGTTGTTTTCGGTCCAGCTTACTAGTTTCATGATGACGGCAGTTTGCTTTGGGAGGGGAAGGTATATGAAAAGGATGAAGCGGTTAAAGTCACGAAACAGATTCATGTTAGTAATGCACACTTTTACTTAATAGGCTGGAGTTAAAACGTTGGAGCTATTTTTAAATAGCAAGTTAAAGAGTGTCAACAAGAAGGAAAGACTACATGTAGGCCACGCCAGTGGATCATCAAACTCAGGTTGATTTAGCAGAATAATATAGACAGTATTCACATCGTAGGGAGTTAAGGCCCAGCGTGGCGACTAAAGATTGCTGGGCCTAGTTATGGAATTGGCCTAATCCAGATGTGTTGTGTGCTGCCAGATGGTTAAGATGCTGGGCGAGCTCTGTTGCATTCCTTTCGGTCTTTACTTGCAGGTGTATATTTAGGGTGTAAGTGACTATACACGAAAAAATCAATGTTGAAAAGGAGAATTGCAGAGATTAATAGACAAGTAAGTAAACGCTTGTTTACTGCAAACTCAGGAAGTACTCAGATGTTTCACCCACAGCCTCACGCCCCATCTGACCATATATCTAAATTGTTTAAATACGCTGGCCACTACCGATTTCCTTCATCATCTGCACGATTAAACTTTTGGTGAGCTAGTTGCTTAAGCCGCTCAGCCTTTTGTTTCCATAGTTGTATTTTTGGCATGCCTGAAAACCGAGAAGACTGGTTGGCATCATATGCCAGTAATTGTGATTTCAGCAATTCATATTAGACTGCTTGTTTAATTTCTGCGCCTTTATGACATCCACCATTTTGTCTTTTGTTGTGGGTATACATGTTGCTTAGAAGCTTTACACCATCATCTCAGGACATCCGCCTCCTCCTGACCAAGAGAATAACCGGAGAAGAAAACGAAAATGTTGAATTAGAGAGCAGGAACATCAACCATAGAAGTGGGCCAATAGCATGTCTCGCGACATTGTGAAATGCAATTTGGTTGGGTGTGATAAACTATTGCAATGATTTCTACTAAAAGTTAGAGTTACTGATGGTTTTGTTTCTCCTTTCAAAACGCACCAGGTAATGCCAATTATCCGGATGTCATAGCCTAGTAGAATACTGAAAATATGCGAAAGAGAGATGAAGCGAAAGATACAATTGTTTGTTTCTCTACCTACAAGTGGGACTTCATGGGTGCCATTTTCGAGCATCTAGTTGAGGTATGATAAATTTAGGTGAACCTGCATTAGAGGACATTTATTGTTTGGTGCTGATGAAATTAAGCCATCTTTAGGCACTTGAAAATCGAATACTCTCATTAGGTTCTGCTTGGCTCAGTGAAAACCAGCGTCACTGAAGGTGTTAGAACTTCAGGGTAAATATCGAACATATCCATTCAAACTCACGATACATATTCAGAAGCGTTTCAAAGGATAGAAATGAAATCATCTTTGAATGCAGTCCTCTCGGCGGTTATATGGGAAATTCAAATTGTCGTTCTTTTACTCGATTTTGAAATATTTCAAGGCAAATAATCCTATGTTGAGTATGGATCCAGCATTAAATACAATCACAGAAAATGTAATAAGTATTGGGGAATTAGCTCGGTTGCATGATCAAATTAATATTTGGGTTCGAGCATGTTGCACATGGCAGGGATGGTGCAATCGAGTTAGCCATTAGAACGTTTGTTGATAAGGGCAGGGTGTTATGTGTGGAAACCGAAGTAGTGGGCGTCACGACGTTAACCCATGCATCATGCTTAGGCTGCCGTTGGTTTGGCAATGAACTGGCTTTGTCATCTGAAAAGTTTGGTGGGAGAGTGGGAACAAATCTTTAACCTTCGCTGGATGTATGTGAGATGGAAATGGCTGCGAGTCCATTGCCGTCGCCGCTAAACAATGGTTGCTAGCAGAAGTTGCTTTAATGTTTGAAGCAACATGGAGAGGATCAGATGGCAAAAGAGTCCTACTGGCCGATGTCCTTTCATTATCTGCGCACTTCCAGAGATTGTAGTGGATTGTGGGATGATAATTAGGCATAGCCAAGAGACAGTTGTTAGTGGTCTTGATCAAAAGTGAAGGTTGTTTGCTCTGGTGGTTGTAGGAGGTAGGTCGATAGAGAATTTTGGGTGCAACCGAGTATTAGGTAGCCACACGTTTTTTAACGACACGGATCCCTGGATTTGTGAAGTCATCTTTAGGCGACAACGAACTGTGAATTAAATCAGTTTATCTATTCTTGGAAGCGTCTTGTTGGTTTGAACTGGGCTGTGATATATTCAACGAGTTGTCAATGCTCTAATTTTCAAACACAGGTTTTCATTTACTGCTTGTATATGAGGAATGCCGTTGTAAGGAATAAGAGTACGTGCTTTCTCTGGTCACTGTTTAGTGGGTATTCAGGTGGAGCAACGTAGGTGGGCTTTGGAGCTAGTTGACAATACTGTTAAAATATCGATGTCTAAATCAATGCATCTAGTATCCAACTTGGATGCACTCGTCTTTTGGATGTTGGACTGAAATTGCTCCAAGAGCGTAATTATTTTTTTCGGTGTCAGCGGCACAGTGTCAATTTGGGGCCTTTGTACGGGTGTCCTGTCTGGTTTAATTAAAATACCATTAAATAGAGTTTTTCAATTGAGAAATATTTCAGGAAAACGACATCAGAAACAGAAAGTAGAGAACAAGCTTGTTTTCAGGGCTTCATCATCAGGCTAATACAACCACAATAAAGCAACCTAGAACAGACACAATGGATTTGAATGCGATCATTGAAGCAGAGTAACTAATAAATAATACTACGTGATTGGTCTGGTTGTGGCGAAGTCCAGTGAAGTGGACTGACTGCCATTGTTAGTCGCGTTGGTTTGCGGCCAAGGCAGGGTTTTTTGTTTTTCTGTTTTCTGTTTTCTGTGCACATAGAGACCAATTGCGTTCGCCTCTGCTGTCGACAGCAGGCCACATCTGACTGTCCGTGTGTAACGTCCGGGGGCGTAGTAGGTTTTTGTGAATGAGTCATGCGAATGGACGCAGTGATCGGAGTCTACTAGGTGCGGCGATACTTCAGCCGTTACGTTCTTCCTATCATTGTTATAGAGCGAAACTGGGCTATGCTCTTGAGCCTTAACGGAGAGTCGCTTGGTCGTTTTCCCAATACATCATGCTGGACATGAGCAAGCGAAATTGTACACAAAGCGGCTGCGTCGAACCATTTTGCGTGCTTGGGTTGACAGCGGTAAACTGGTGCTTGCAATGTATGGTATAGCGGCTAAAGAAGATATTGGATGAGCACGAGTTTAGTCGAACCGTATAGCCTGGGAATACTCTTTCGAGTGAAAGTAAAATATCCGACAGGAAACTGAAAGTCAATAAGTTTCGCTCTTGTATGTCTATAACAAGTCCGCCCAAGTTGACGAAAGTGAATAGTATGTTGCAGCGCTGGGATCACTCCGACAATTTTATATTCACCGTATGAAGCTTACAAATCCGAGTGGAATGAGTGTATGCTGAGTGACGAGCAGTAGGATAGTGATGGGTTAACCGCAAATTAGTCACTAACTGATTTGATCCATTCGCACGTCACCCTGCGTCATGGACAGCAGTTTTCACTTCAGCGCATACTGCCTCATGCAAATGGGAGTATTTAAAGGAAACGAACGTTTGCCATAAACACCCACACTGTACAAAATATGCGCATACAGAGCATTTATGACATCCACATTCTTCTCGGACACAACTTTCTTAATCGGATAACCACAAAATGCACATTGATTCATCAACTCGAAGGCATCTTTTTGTCGAAGAACGCCACAACCGTGGGTCGCCAATAATTATGGCGGTGCTCCTTCACTAGATTTAAACGGGTGATATGATTGATGCTGTTCGAGTTCCCGAATACCCAGCTTGCAGCTCACGCATCTGCCATTCGCAGGCGCTATTCGATCTATAAAAGACGACCGAGGTATTATCCTAACTACAATTGATATCCGATTTATTCCACTATGGTTGCTTTATTACGAACTTCGGAGAACTTTGAAAATCGGCACTAAAATGGTGCGGCATCATTCTGTTTTGACAGTCTTTTGTTCAAACAGATTCAACGTTGTATTACGCTACGGATCCATAAGATCAGGTATACGGATTTGAAGGTCAGCTATATGAATGATTCTCGTTGACGCCGATTTC